CACGCAGCGACTGACTCTCTCTCTCTCTCCCTCCCCTCCCTCCCTCTCTCTCTCTCTCTCTCCCTCTCTCCCTCCCTCTCTCCCTCTCTCTTCCTGCCTCTCTCCTTTTCTCTTCTTTTCTTTCAGCAGCCAGATCCAGGGCTGAATTTTTCTCCGGCTGCTAAGAAGAGCCTAACCTTTCTCTTCCTTTCTTGTTTTATTTTTCTTCCTTCCATTAAAATTTTTTTAAGTCCTGGAAGGTGGCCTATCCCCTCTCCTGGGGCTTCCTTGGCTCTTCCGGGAGTGTGCCTGGCAAGGTGGGGTTGTTGGGGTGGCTCACTCCAGTGAGACCCTGGGGGAAGCCAGGAGCCACCGTCTAGCTCCCGAGAAGCCATATGGAGCCTGGATTTTTCCAACATGGAGGCAAGGGAAATAGTCCTGTTTGGCTTGGTAGAGCTGCTCCCCACCCCCACTTCTGCTGGATCCCAAGATACCGGATCCCCTCGGGCACCTTTCCCTCTTCTCACTGTCCCGTCAGGCAGGCCTCAGCGCCTTCCAGCTCGGCCTGGCAAAGTCCCGGAGCGGAGTTGCTAAAGCGCCTTTTAATTCGGTTACCTCCAGCGCCCAAACTTGCTGCCGCCCGTAGGGCTGGGCCCTCAACCCGGTGCGCTTGGAACCTGCCATCGCTAACCGTTTCGGCATCCTGAACGCTTTCTCTTCACCTCCTTGGGCCAACATAGTTAGTCGCCAGCTACCGCTGCAGCAGCAGCCGAGACAGCCCGGCGGCGGCAGCGGCGGCGGCAGCCAGGGGCTAAGCGCGTCCGCAAACCTTCCGGGCCCTTTCTCCCCGGCGGCGGCTGAGTCTCCATTCTTCCCTATCTCGCCTCTGGCTCCTTCGCTTCCCACACTCTCCTGGCCTTGGTCCTGCTATGGTTTGCGGGTTTATTGCAGGGGGAGCGACAGAAATTTCGGCCTCGGGCATCTATTTAAATTATTGTTTTACCATCATCATCACCATCACCATCATCATCATCGTCACTATCACTGCTGTAACAATCATTTAGACTGAATAAAGCCAGGGCCCAGCCAGCCAACCCCCTCCAACGCTTTTATTTTATTCTTCTATCTATTAATAACAAACTCAACTGATGCCTATTAATTAATTCTCCCTTCAGCCAGGCTGCTCCGAAGCTAATTTTGGTTAAGTCATTAGTGGCTAATGGTAATAATAATAATAAAGGGATTGGGTCAGGCTGGTCAATTGAACTCCAGTTCTCCCTGAAAGGACCTGCTGCTTTGCAGACCCATGTGTATTTTCCAGAAATAAATTCTTCCCGGAAACCAATCGGAATTGAGGGCCACCTTAGCTTTCTTTTGAGTATAAATCTGTGCCATTAAGAAAGGGATTTATGTGTGGGAGGGATTTCCTTCGCCTCCACTCTTTTTCTTTTATTTTCCTATTTTTAGTTTTGCCAGATGGGCTAAATGAGATTTCAGTATTCCAAACTCACACGTCAGAAGAGAGGGTCAGTCTGGAGGTTTTACGAAAAAGTGACGGTGAGGTATTGGGGAAGACATGGGGAGGAGGTAAATGAAGTCAGAAGTTTCAGAATATACAAAATCCTATGATAGCTTCAACCTTTATTCTTGCCCCTCACCCTGTACACTTTGAAAAGGCTGCACAAAAATAATGATTGTATTTATTTACTTATTTATTTATTTGTCTCAGGGAACTTCAGTAAACAGGGGTAACCCTGTTTCCAAGCCCCAAAATAATACTGTTCAGATTGCTTTGTTGACTTTCTTTTTTTTCCTAGGGAATTTTTTTTTTTCTTTCAGAAAGCCTTTTCCCATCCTTTGGTAGAAAAGTCCAGCAGTTATCTAGTTTCTTTCTTCTTGTCTTTTGAAGAAATCAAAGGAAACAAACTGTCAAGGAAAGGGTGGGAAAAAAATTAAGTTGGCTGAAAAAAATGGAGGAGGGGGGAGGTCTGGGCCAAATGGTCACAGCACCGATGAGCCCAGTCAGGGAGATGAGCCCAGTCAGGGAGATCGAAACAGTCCTGCTCCATTTGGGGGCTCCATGGGGGCCGCTGGCTGCCTGGCCCCAGGCTTGGCTGAGCAAAGACTCAGGCTGGAGGCGGTGGTACCTGCAGCTGGGACTCGGGAAAGGCTCAGTTCCTTGGGCTCTGCAGGTTAAAAGTCTTTAGGAAGTTTCTAGGTCAGGCCATTGTTGTCTGTGAGGCAGGAGGGCAAGGAGAGGATCCCTTGTACCAGAGGGTTCTCTGCTCAAGTTGTACTTCTTTCTGTCTCTTTGGGAGATCTGTTTTTCCTGCAGGCAAGACTCGGCTCCGATGAGAGAGACCTAGATGGGCATGAAGGGAGACAGAGGCAGGAGGCCTCTAGGCTCAGGGAAGAGTGTTGACGCTTTTATTTTAGAGTCTCCCAGGCTCCCCCCTCTTGAGCCACCCTATCTCAAGAGTTGGGGTTGGGGAGATAGGGAGAGGGAGGAGGAGGAGAGGTCAGGGGCTAGCGTGCAGGCAGGGGAGAAAGCAATGACTCTTGCAGTAAGAAGTCATATGTAGCCAGTCCCCAAAGGAGTACGGTCCTTATTTTTTAAGTGGAAATGAAAACTGGTGGGTTTTTACTTTAAAATTAAAGCATTGAAATAAGAAAAATTCATTGCCGGTCAGGAAGTGGCCTCAGCATCTGCTGTGAAGATGTTGGGGTGGGGGAGAAGAAAAATCCCTATTGATGTCAGTTCCCTTTTCAGTTCTTAAGATGGATTCGAGCCCCAGTCCTCTTCTCCCCCTTGTGTCTCTTCTCTCGCCCCGCAGGTCAGCGGCTCGGAACACACCCCGGGAGGAGGGGGGCAGAAAGGGTAGGGGGGGTCCGGCGCCTCACGTGACCCCCAGGGGTGCCAATGTCCGGTCGTGAGGGTATCAGGCCCTTGCAAGTTGCCACCCACTGCCCGGGTTTCGCCCAGCGATGCAGAAAGCCACCTACTACGACAACGCCGCGGCTGCACTCTTCGGAGGCTACTCCTCATACCCTGGCAGTAATGGCTTCGGCTACGACGGTGCCCCCCAGCCCCCCTTCCAGGCCACCACGCACCTGGAGGGCGACTACCAGCGCTCAGCATGCTCGCTGCAGTCCCTGGGCAACGCGGCCCCGCATGCTAAGGGCAAGGAGCTCAACGGCAGCTGCATGAGGCCTGGCCTGGCCCCCGAGCCCCTGTCCGCCCCGCCCGGCTCACCCCCGCCCAGCGCCGCACCTACCAGTACCACTAGCAACAACAGCAGTGGGGGCGGGTCCGGCAAAAGCGGCCCCCCCAAATGTGGTCCCGGCTCCAACTCCACCCTCACCAAACAGATATTCCCCTGGATGAAAGAGTCGAGGCAGACGTCCAAGCTGAAAAACAGCTCCCCCGGCACAGGTACCAGCTTTCTGCCTTCCTCAGCGTCCGCTTTTGTCCGGGCGAGGAATGTCACTGTTATTCTAGCACCCAGCTCCTAGGCGCCCAGGCGGCGGCCTGGGAACAATATCAGGTGCCGGGCGGCAGCGGCGCAGTTCCCTTACCTCCCAGCACCTGATGACCCCTGACCCCACCAACACCCTCTCCCTCCAGCCACCCTCCACCGGACTTCCTGACAGCTCTCGAAGGCCAGGCGCTGGGCCACGAGACGCTTGCCCAGTAGACGCAGAGTCGTCAACAATTGATTATTAAGTATGATTACTGTGGGTATTAATCACAATCGCTCGCGCTGCCCGGGGTCCCGGCCTCCAGGCACGGCAGCCTCTCCGCTCCACAACCCCGTGCCCTGCCCATGGATGTCCAGATTCCCTCAAGGGTCTTCCTTGGCCACCCACCCTGGGCCACAGGACGGGGCAGGAAGTGGGGAGTGACTTCCCAGACCTGGAATTGGGGGTGGAGAGAAAGCGTGCTCGAGAACATCCAGCCCTAAATAAATGGCCATGTGGCTCTGTCTGCGTGACATGATCAAATTTTCATAAGCTGGGGCAGCGAGAGGAGAACAGGTCTCTTAATAAATGCCACTATTATAGAGTGTCCGCTAATGCGACGGGTGTGTGTTGGCGGGGGTGGGGGTAGCTAGGAGGAGGCGGGGATGAGAAGGGGAGGCGGCGGGGGCTCCGAGTCCAGGCCTGGATTTATTAAGAAACGATGCATTCAATTTCGGCGTGTTCAGTAATTATCTTTTATTTCATTTTCTCCTCTTCCCACCCCTCCCCCTCGGATCCAGCGGAGGGCTGCGGTGGCGGCGGAGGAGGAGGCAGTGGTGGCGGGGGCGGTAGCAGCGGGGGAGGGGACAAGAGCCCCCCGGGGTCTGCGGCGTCCAAGCGGGCGCGGACGGCATACACAAGCGCGCAGCTGGTGGAGCTGGAAAAGGAGTTTCACTTCAACCGCTACCTGTGCCGGCCGCGCCGCGTGGAGATGGCCAACCTGCTGAACCTCAGCGAGCGGCAGATCAAGATCTGGTTCCAGAACCGGCGCATGAAGTACAAGAAGGACCAGAAAGCCAAGGGCCTGGCCTCATCGTCGGGGGGCCCCTCCCCCGCCGGCAGCCCTCCGCAGCCCATGCAGTCCACAGCCGGCTTCATGAACGCCTTACACTCCATGACCCCGAGCTATGAGAGCCCGTCCCCTCCCACCTTCGGCAAAGCCCACCAGAATGCCTACGCCTTGTCCTCCAACTATCAGCCCTCTCTCAAAGGCTGCGGCGCCCCACAGAAGTACCCCCAGACGCCGGCGCCTGATTACGAGCCCCACGTCCTCCAAGCCAACGGGGGGGCCTACGGGACGCCCACTATGCAGGGCAGCCCCGTGTATGTGGGCGGGGGCGGATACGCGGATCCGCTGCCGCCCCCTGCCGGCCCCTCCCTCTACGGCCTCAACCACCTTTCCCACCACCCCTCCGGGAACCTGGACTACAACGGGGCGCCCCCTATGGCTCCCAGCCAGCACCACGGACCCTGCGACCCTCACCCCACCTACACAGACCTCTCCTCTCACCATGCGCCTCCTCCTCAGGGTAGAATCCAAGAAGCGCCCAAGTTAACACACCTGTAATGGGAGAGGGAGGGCAGAGGGGTGAGGTCAAGGGGTGGGGGAGAGCCTAGAGGGGCAGTCTGAGGTCTGAGGGAGGAGGCAGGGAAGTGGCAGGCAGGCTTTCTGGGAAGAACAGGCCTGGAGTTCCTTCCCCTCCTGGCCTGAACGGTTGCTTTTTAAAATCCTCCAGCCCCTCTTCCATTTGCCTGCCAACCCACTGGAAAGGAGTCCAGGGCAGATTGGAGATGACCCATCAACCCTAGGCCTCCAGCAATACCCAGTTGGAATTCCACGCTCGGGAGTGGGGTAGAGGAAGGAGGAGGTAGAAAAACAAGGCAGAGAAGCACATTTTAAGAAACAGACAAGATGGCTAGGCCATCACCAACCAACCAACTTACCTTCCGTCTCTGTGGGTCATTCCCCCAAATCTTGGTGTTTTTTTCCCCCTTGCAATGGTCCTTTAAAAAGAATTAGGAAACATTTCAAAACCAGGGGCACCAAGCACGCTCCCCTCCCACTTCGCCGAAGCCTCAAATTTCTTCCCATCTATTTGAGATTAATTGGGCACTCCTTTCTAGCCCCATATTTTTCTGCTCTAGGACATTAATATCTATACCCCGCCCCCATCAATTACAGTTTTTAGAGGGCTCAGGGATGGTGAGAGATCTTGAGAGTCAGAGCTGTCTATATTATAAATATATATATTTTTTCTTTTATGGAAAAGCTGGGAGGTGAGGGCAGGCAAATTGTCAGGACTGAAGGTTTGCCCATTCTGCTGCCTCCCACTCATCTTAGCTCCAGGTCCATCCCCCTCTTTCCACAGAAAGCAATCGGAGACACGAGGTTCTTCTACACTTTTCTTTTCTTCTGTTGCTCTCTTGACTTAACGTGAAAACAGGGTATATTTTAACAAACTGTCTGTCCCAGGCAGGGGCTGCAGCTGGGCCTGTATGCCTTGCTCAACCCCCTGACAGGACACTTTTGTTGCACTTAGAGTTTACATTTTAATGGATATAAAAACAACTGTGAGAGATGCCTGGGCCTGCAGGAGTCCAGCATCGCTCAAAAAGTGTGTGTTCTAGTGAACATTTTCATATATATTTATTGGTCATAGCCTGTTAAAATATTTTCTTTTTTTGTATTATTTATCCCCTTACATTATGTATTTATATGAGGGAAAAAAAGGAAAAAAACTGTACTTTTTTTAGTATTTACTTGTTATAAAGGATGTGTTCCTTGTCATGTAAAACCAGCTATTTTAGTTATTATTGTACTCTAGAAAAGAGCTGTAGATTTATGTTAAACTCGTACTTATGAGCAATTGTAATTAGTTCTAAAAGGCATGAACTCAGCTCCTAATTGTCACTGTATAGTCCTGAATTTGTAGAATTAGAGTTAATTCCCTCTTGGAACTTTCTTTGTTCTTCTGTAGTTACTTTTTTCCTTACTTAAAAGGGTTGTCTGTCAAACAATTCTTGAATAAACTTTCTGTTATCAATTTTATCTTGTCCTGTTGGTCCAATTTAGATAGCAGAGCGAGGCCGCTGACTGCCAAACTTCCCCCAAGGGAACGAGGGCACTGAAGGCCCTATCATGGACTATTGTCCACTGCTCAGGCGCCTGCCTCCCTTTGCTGTGTCTCATGTTTATATATCTTTTCTCACAGGGGCCTGGAGCATACTGCCAAGTTCTTTAGCTAAGATTTAAGTAATAAGTTGGGGGGAAGGAGTACTGTTGAGTGTTCTCTCTAGGACTTTCTGTTTGGTTTCTTTGCCTCTCCGTTTTTCTCATTCATTGACCTTTTGTCTTCTGGCTCCTTTGGCCACAACTTCCTCGCCCTCCGCCCCCAGCAGCAGCAGCAGCAACAACAACAACAACAAAAGTAGGCCCGATCATTGCTCCTTCCAGGCAACCTAAACTTCACGGCTCTCTTCCGGAGCTACAAAACAGCCGTCACGTGACCTGAAACCCAACCACCATTGGGTCTAAAATGAAAACAAAGAAAAATGATTAATCTAAGGGGGAAAAAAATCTGAGGCCTGGACTTCTCAGGTCAAACCTTAAAACCAAAGTGAAATTAAATCACTAAATAAAACTGGGGGTGGAGACGCCTTTGATTTCCCCTGCCAGGGAAAGGCGAGAGGAGGAGGGTGAGAGAAGCTGTTGGATCCAAGCGTCAATAAAATGGTCCCCAGGCTAATGTGTGGCTCTGTTTCCACGATCCTTGGGAAAACTTCATTTCTTAGTCGTGGTTCTATAAAAGTTTTATCACATTGGAGCGAGGATAGAGAGGGTCTGTCAAAGATGAAATGTCACCGCTGCGTCGCTGGAGTCGATAAGAGCGAGGAGACAGGGCGGCTGAAATATGGAGCTAATTCGTTGAAAGGGAAGCGATGGCTGCTTGCTGAAGAGTTGCATAATTCTAATTGTAAGCGATGCGCCCGCATTGCTTAATTAGGAGCATATATTTGGTGGAAGTGATGGGGGGGGGTGTCGTTGAGAATTGTTGCAGGCCCTCAGCCTTAAAGCGAGGGCTGATTTTCATTTTTATGTTGCATCCTGGCAGTCCAAGGTTAGTAATTACAGTCTTTATGCAACAATAAATAACAATAAAAAAGCAACCTGAGTTCTACACCCCACCCTGTAGGATTTTAACTGGACTCGGCTCATCCAAGCAGCAAGCAATTTAGCATTGGGTCAGGCTATAATTTAAAGGCATAAGAGCGTGCAAAGTTTGATTGGGATCAAATAACGCTCAAGGGTTTTTTTCTTTCTCTCTCTTCCTCTTCCCTGAATAACATTTTCTGAATGGTGTAACTAGATGAAGCGCCATGTTTGGTTTTGGGGGTGCAGTGGTTGTGGTGCTAAATGCAGGAGAGGGGGAGGTCAAGCGAGAGAATTTAGCTCCAGTTTGAAAAACACAGCTTTGGCTTAAAGCTGGAATGGCTAACGAGAAAAATAAGGGCCGGCTCGACTTGCTGTCCCCCACCCTTTTTTTCTGCGAGATTCCAGCGCTAGCTCAGCAGCCAAAGTCATGGGGAAAATATCTGTGCTGTAAGATTCACAGCACAACAGGGGGGCGGGGAAGCGGTGTCTCTGGGAAGGAGGACTCTGTTGGCCCCTTTTAACACCCAAGTTTTCTGCTGTTCTCTAATCTGGCAGTAAAATCTGTCAGCAGGGTTAGGGAGAGCCGTATTTCCTGTGGGGACAGCCTTAGCCGGCTGTTGCGGAGGAAGGCGCTGGACCCTGCAGCCAGCTCAAGAGCTCGTGAAAAAACTTCCAGGGCTTCTCAAGTGGGTGGCCGAGGGAGAACCCGCTCCCAGGCCTCACTGAACAACTTCCAGAAAACCACTACTCGGATTCTTCTGCCCCCTCCCCCATCCACACCTCCAAATGGTAAAATCTGCTTTCTTTGGAGCTGAGCTGCACATAACCGACCCTGGCCACTTTGCCCAGTTCATCGCAGCTCTCTCTGAGCCCTCCAGAGCCTGCCAGAGCCTGCCAGCCCCCCTGTCCCTACAGCCCTCACCCTCCGATTCAGACATCTCTGTCCTTTTTAAATACTCACCACCACCCACGCGGCTGAATACTCACCACCACCCACGCGGCTGTTACATTGACAGAAAGTTTCTAGTTCCAGCTCCCGGCTGAGTTGCCATTTCTCTGTTAACCAGCTTTCTCCTCCTTTCTGGGCAGCTGAGAGCCCGAGGGGGAGGGGAGGCCAGAGCCGTGGGAGTTCTCCAGACAAACTTTCCACCCAACTCAGCGCCCTTCCCTCTGTCCCCATTTCCCATCTGTTTCCCCGATCTCCCAGAATCACCTTTCTCTTGTGCGAACACCCCCCACCCCCAGGCCTTTTAAAGCGATGTGGAATTTCGGCTGTTCCTTCTGCTTTCCCAAAGAGCCAAATTCTTTGATGCCATCGGAGGGAGCTGTCAGGGGGCTAAGATTGATCGCTTCATCTCTCCTCCGTCCCTCTGACCCACTTACTTAAAAATCTTCCCCCCAGATCGACTTTTCATTTTCTGCATTGAGACCTGCTTTCCCACCAATTGCTTGGGGCCCTAAGTCTTGTGCCCCCTCCCTCCAGTAAATTGCAACACTCCCTGGAGTTCAGGCTATCTCAATTCTTTTAAAATAAAAAACAAACAAACAAACAAAACTCCCTCAGGGGCCAGAAAAGGAATATCATCTCAACAGTCATTATTTCCACCCCCTCCGTGTTCAGGGAATTCTTTCCTGACAGTGATTTTTTTTTTTTTTTTTTTTTTTTACTAGCACAATGACAAAAATGGGAGAGGGCATCTCTTTGTCCTAGGGAAGGACTCCCCCCCCAAATACGGACCTGAGCTTTGAGAGTACACTAAGTAAAATAAATTGTTGGCTACCTTTGCTCTTGCTCACGTTCCTGGATATAGACACAAATTAAGGCTTGAGGCTTGAGTGAATGCATTGCATTTTAGACCCTGACTGTTGGCGGGTGGGTGTCATTGAGGAATGCAGATGCCACCAGGTGAGGGAGGCAGGAGGACATTGGGGCAGAGGCAGGGCTGCAAACACCGGGCAGAGAAGGGACCTGAGACCACACAACCATGGAGGCCAGAGATCCAAAAGGGCCCCTCACCATCACCATCGATCTCACTCTTCTGTGTCAGCCTGGGAGTGTCTGTCGATTTTCCAAGATTTATCTGTTGCTTTTGGAGGGTGGGATGGGGCTAGTGGTGCTGATGATTGTAAATCTCCTCTCTTCCTTATTGCACCTTAACACTGGCTTTTCCGAAAGGGGGAAAGCCTCTTTCTACTACCTTTTCCTGCCACATTGAGGACCTTCTTTTGGGGGGGGGGGTTGCTGCTTGCCATGTACAGAAAACATTAATTTACTCTATTAAAATATTTAGAAAAGAGGAAAGTCTCTCCCTAGATTCTCTTGTTTTCCGGGCTCCCAGAACCTCTCACCCTCTGAAGGACATGAGGCAAAGTTTCTCTAGTTTTTCTGGGGAAAGGGAGTAATTGGGAAGAGGGAGTGAAGGACTTGGGGGCTCATGGTATCCAGGTTGGGGTCCTCTAGAGTTTTTGAATCAATTAAAGCAAATAATGCTCTCTGTTTTCCACCAGGCCCAGACGAGCGATTGGCCGAGGCCGGTCGCGTGACCACGAATTCCCTGCAATTTCGCCGGAGTCCTGGGTTTAATAGAGAGAGTCCCCATACGCTTGTATTTATCAGCAATATACAATTATAAAGGCCCAAAATTTAAAAAAGAGATAGAAAGCGAAATCTCCCCCTCCCAAAATCGCTCCATCACATAAACCTGGGGGGGGCAGGAGGGGGGGTCCCTTCCGATCCTCCCTCCTGACGCCCCCCCCAGCAGGCCCCCTCCCCCACCATTGAAAGCCATGAATTTTGAATTTGAGAGGGAGATTGGGTTTATAAACAGCCAGCCATCGCTCGCGGAGTGTCTGACTTCCTTCCCCGCTGTCTTGGAGACATTTCAAACTTCATCAATCAAGGAGTCGACATTAATTCCTCCTCCTCCTCCTTTCGAGCAAACCTTCCCCAGCCTCCAGCCCGGCGCCTCCACCCTTCAGAGACCCGGGAGCCAAAGGCGAGCCGAAGATGGGCCCGCTCTGCCGCCGCCGCCGCCGCCGCCGCCGCCGCTCCCCGCCGCCCCCCTGGCCCCCGAGTTTCCCTGGATGAAAGAGAAGAAATCCGCCAAGAAACCCAGCCAATCTGCTACATCTCCTCCGGCCGCCTCCTCCATCCCGGCCTCCGGGGTCGGCTCGCCCACAGGTCGGTAAACGGTTTAGGGGTGGGGTGGGTGAGGGGCAGCTCGAAGAGAGGGGGAGAAAGAGGGATGGGAAAGGAAGAAAAGGTGGCGAGCTTGTTGGGGTCCCTTGCCCCACTCATTCCGGGGACGAGGAAGCAGAATAGACCTCTGGGATGCAGGCCTTGGCCGCTGCCAGATTTTTTTTTTTTTTTTTTTTTTTTTTTTTAATCCTACAGCAGATTTTGTAAGCTTCTTGGGAAAGAGCTTTCTCTCTGCTAGGAGAAAAGAATTCGATTGATCTTTATCTGTGAGGAGGAATGAACGTGTGCTGTCGTTAGGGTTGAGTCTTTTCCTGGGCGCAGGAAAAGATGTGGTCCCATGTCCCCCAGCTCTTACACAAGAGGGGCAGTCTGAGAGCTAGGGAGCAAGAGAGGTGAGGAGCATTCTTTCTTTATACACCTTCTTCCCGGGCGGAGTCCGAATTAAGGGGTCCACTCGGAAGACTTGTTGTGGAGGACGACTCTGAGCGTCTGGGAGCAAACGGGAGCCGCTTCCTAACGCCCGCGTCGCCCGTGGGCGGCTCTCTGAATGCTTTGCCCTGACCCGGCCGGCTGTGAGAGGGAGAGGGATGGAGAGAAAAGGGAAAGGCAGTGAGAGAGCCGATTTGGTGGGCGGAGAGGGAGGGGTACTGCCGATACTGTTTTTGGCGGATGGAACAGTCTTTATTTCAGCTGAACTGAGGCTGGGAGGAGAGGGCCGCCCGCTCTGACGCCCAGTCTGCTTTCCCAGCAGATGGCCAGGGGCTCGCGGAGGCGGCCGGCGGCGGGGCGCGCAGGCTGCGCACGGCTTACACCAACACGCAGCTGCTGGAGCTGGAGAAGGAATTCCACTTTAACAAGTACCTGTGCCGGCCGCGCCGCGTCGAGATCGCGGCCTTGCTGGACCTCACCGAGAGACAGGTCAAAGTCTGGTTCCAGAACCGGCGCATGAAGCACAAGCGGCAGACGCAGCACCGAGAGCCGCCCGATGGGGAGCCAGCCTGCCCGGGTGCCCTAGAGGACACCGGCGAGCCTGCCCCGGAGCCCGCGGCCAGTCCCGGTTGTCCCTCCGCCTCGCGGGCGGCGCGGGAAGCCTGCTCTCACCCGCCCGAGGTCGCGCCTTGCCCCCAGAGCGCCCCGGCTTTGGCCTCCCGAGGGGAGGGCGCGGGGGCGCCGAGCCCCGGCCGCGTCCCGCGCAGGGCCGGCGGGCTGGAGCCGGAGCAGTCGCCCGAAGACGCCTTCCCAGAGCGACAGGATTCGCCCTTCCTGCCCGACCTCAACTTCTTCGCGGCCGACTCCTGCCTCCAGCTGTCCGGAGGCCTCTCCCCCAGCCTGCAGGGCTCGCTCGACAGCCCTGTTCCCTTTTCCGAGGAAGAGCTGGACTTGTTCACCAGCACCCTCTGTGCCATCGACCTGCAGTTCCCCTAACCATCTTCTCCTCCCGGCCTTTCTGTCCCCCAGAACCCTCCCCCCAGAGCCCCTCACCCCCCGAGTGGTTTAGAGTTCTTTATGTGTTTTGCTAAAATTCAGGTGTTATTGAATTAGCGTTTAATCCACTTTCTCTCTTCTCTAAAATTTTTGGCACTCGTGCGTCTTTTTGAAATCACACAGAAAAATTCCGTTTGGTAGACTACTTCCAACGAAATCTCAGGAATAATTAAACTCTAGGGGGGCTTTCTTTAAAAAGAACTAGAGGAACCTATTTTCCTCTTTTTTAAGTTTTAGACCGTAGATTATTTATTAAAACTTTAATAATAGGAAAAGGGAAAGTATTTATTGTACATTATTTTCATAGATTAAATAAATGTCTTTATCATACTAACACGACTGTTTCTGTTGGGACGCAGCCCCCTTCCCCGACGCCCCTCGGCCGGCCCTGACTCCCTCTGTTTCTGCCCGGGGTTGGTCTGGCCCAGGGCCGGCAAAGCCCGGGTGGTACAAAAATGGCCCCACTTGGCCGCCGCTTCTAGAACTTCCCGCAGCTCCGGGAAGACTGGAGGTTTGCTGGAAGCTGGGTCGCCTCGCCACGGCCTAAGAGATGACCGTCGGCCCTGCGCGGGTGTTCCCGGGTCTCTGCTTGGAGCCCGTGCCGGGCAGTGCGTGCCGTCCACAGAACAGGGTGCGAGGACAGGAGGCCTGGGGCACAGGCTGCGCAGTCGCGGCGGGGGTCGGGGGCAGCGAGGGTTGTCTGAATTGGGAGGGGTCCTGGGGTTTCCCTGGCTTCTTGCTGCAGTGCCCCGGACGGGGCTGGAGGGGCTTTTTCCCGGAGCGCAGGAAGCCTGGGGGCGCGAGGCCTGGAGGCACGGCCTGGCAGAGGGGTGGAGCGGGGGTCGGGGCTTTTCTCGGGAAGCAGGGCCCCGTGCCCCAGGGGCTAATGTGCTCCCAAGTGGACAGTACTGGAGGCCGGGTGAAAAACGCAGCGAGGCCGCACCCCGACGCGCTCCCGTCCCGCAGTCAGCCCAGGGCCTCCGGGTCGGGAGGACGTCCGAGGAGCGGCGGGGCGGCCAGCCCGGGGAGCGCCGGCAGGCGCTGGGCCTGCAGGGAGGGAAGGAGGAGCGAGGAGTGCGGGTGGGAGACGGGGCAGCGAGGATGATGCTCAAAATGGCGCTGGGGCCGGGCAGCAGGGAGGGCGAGGGAAGAGCTGGTGGCCGCCATGACAGCCGCTTCGGGGTGCGCGGGGTTCCGCCCAGGCACCCGTCCGTGCACCCCCTTTCTCCTTTCTGGACCGTCCAGACGCCAGTGAAGAAAGGGAGTTAGGGAGCCTCCTCTTAGTTTTTGTTTTATTTTAAACAATGAGTCCAATGGATGCTGAGGGCGCGCGATGGACGGAGAGTCCGCGTGGGAGTGACAAGGGGAGGAGACGCGGCGGGTCTGCAGGCCCCGGTCCGCCTCGGCGGCTCAGACTTTTGATCCTTCGCTCTGGGATTTGAAGCCTGGCCAGAGCTTCCTCCAAATGCAGACCTACCTGTCTTTGCCAACAACTTCATTTGCCATCTCAACACTATCTCCTATTCCCCACCGCAGCGGCAGGCGACTTGCAGACCCCGTAAGCGGGAAGCAAGGATTGATCTTCCCCATCTGCCTCCTGGCTTCTTCCGGGGAACGTGGAGATTTAAAGGGCCCTGGAAAGCAATCCATCCTCCTTAGGTTTATTTAATATTTCTCGGGCTCAGAAATAGACACCGCAGGGCTACCTCCCTAGCAGATGCGGCCGGTCTCTAAAATCAGTTTATTTCCTGGGCCTCCCAGGCTTTCCCCTGGAGCAGCAGGACCGGGACTTGGAGTACCAGGTACCGCCAGGCAACAACTGAAAGGAAAAGCCAGGAGCCAACGTAGGTCGTGACATAGAGGCCCTCGCACATATATAAATACATATATATATATATATGTATTTTTTAAACTGGTCCCTCAGTGTGGGAAGTACACACATCTTATTCAGCTGAAACTTAATCCCTTAAACTGTCTTAATATAAAATTCATCTCCTGCATTAAATAATCTTACGTCATGTTAAATTGCACTTATTTCTTTTATAAATAAATTAATAGAGAACAATTAGATGTGTTATTATAATAATATCGTGTATCTTATTAGTTTATTTTCCCTCAGAAAAATATAGGTATGAAATAAATTCAATATATTAAAGTAATAATGCACAGCTTATTGGCTTGTGTGTTTATTTTCCTCATAAATAAGTGAATATACAATATATTAAAACCACACTGTACATATCATTGGGCTGTGTGTTTATTTCTCCATAAAATATGCCCATAGGCAGTGTTTAACATTTTAAAAGTCACAGCACATAGCCATTTCCACACTAACAAAATGAAACAGACATTTCAGCTGGGGCTTTGATTTCTATGGACAGCCAAACTGGATAATTTGGTTTAATTAAAAATGCTTTTTCAGCTATAACAGGTTGTTACAAAGATCAAGAATACCAGAAGGATCTTGCTAATTGCCCACTTTCCAGCTTTCTTTGGTCAAAAGGAGAGCACCCTTCATCAATGCCAAAAGCGCAGGATCTGCTCTGCTGGAGAGAATTCACATCTTGGGATCACAGCTTGGTCTGCAATACTCAGGGCCCTCTGAGGCTCTGGCTCTTTAAGAGCCTTGCTGCTCCCTGGCCCAGCAGTATCAGTACTACCTATGAGCGCGTTAGAAATGCAGCAGCTTAGGCCCTACCCCAAACTGAATCAAACTCTCAATTTAGCAGATCCCCAATTTATATGCACATTAAAGTTTGAGAAGTACTGCTAGATCATAGTGCCACCCTGCTCCCTGCCTTCCTTCCATACTTAAGAGTTTTGGACTCACTTTACCTGGCTATTGCCTTCCAAGCCTCCCAGATCAGTAGTCCAAAGGGCAGGGAGGGAATCTCAGCTCCCCTCTGAGGCATCAGTCCTGGTTCCTACCTGCTAGAGTGATTGGGGAGCCAGGAGGGGTCCAGCCAAAGGCTCGATCTACCTGCCTAGTTAGAGGCACTTTGTGAATCCTGGGGGTGAGAAGCAACCAATCCAAGGGAATCGGGAGTTTCAGCATTTCCCACGGTCGGTTCTTAGAGAGAGAGAGGAGTTGGAACTCTTTTCACAAGCAACACACAAGCCTTTCTCCCTCTCACCTTTCTTATATTCAAAAAACTCAGTTTCTGATGCCACCGCAGTGGAACAAAGGGGCAATGCATTTCCAGAAGGAAAGGACTCCTGCTTTCAATCTTCCCACCCAATTTCAAATTCAAAGGAATGCCTGGCAATTTCAGATCCATAAAGGATTGGGATTCAGGATGCCTGTGTTCCAAATTAGCTCTTTTTCTTTCTCATCTCTGGGGTCAGCCTCTTCAGCCTGAGTTTTTCTGCCTGGTTTTGAAGATGGAAGGAGAAGAGGAGGGGTTTCCAGAGAAGGCAGCAGAACCCCCAGTGATGGCACGTTAGAGGGCAGTGCCAAGTGGCTGTACTAGCTTATCACATCCCGATTAGGTCAGGGGCAAATGTGAGTGGTCTGTAGCACAGGCTGGATATAAATTGACTGTGGTTGGAGTGGGAAGGTTTCAGGGCCATCCTGAAAGCTGCTGGTCAGTCTGCCCTGCTTTTGGTGAGTCACTCTTTTCAAAAGAATAACTCATTAATATTATAGTGAAAGCAAAGGACTATTAGCTTGAGGAATTATTTGCAATCACGATAACCCTGAGTCATTAAAATAAAGTAACTTATGCCTGGGCAAGTCCCTTTCCCTTTTCAGACCTCAGTTTCTCCATCTGTAAAATAAATGAAAGAACTAAATGCCTCTAATGTCCTGCACATCGATAGGAGCCAAAAGTATATTCATTAGTCTTCACAGCAATGTATCAAATATTTATTGTGGCTGGAGCTGTGTGCTTTTAAGTGGAGGCGATGACAATTGTCTACCTCCCAAGTATCTGGTAGAGCCATTTTAACAAATTTTAATTTGTATCTTTACACCAAAATTGTGCCCATAGTCATTGCTTAAATGAGAAGGGGGAGAGATCTTTTCACCAAGCATGTAATTGGATGCAGCACTGTGTGCCACATGCCAGGTATTTAGTAAATATGAATATTAAGAAGTGTCCTAGCCATGTTTTCCTCTGGGTTCCATCCTCTGCCATCTCCCTCCACATTTGGTTATGTTTACCCTTGTTTGAAAAAGAGTTGGATATTTTGTGCAAAAAGAGGCAGGCACCAAACTTCTTCTTTGACGTGCTGTACTACACTTTGAAAGTCCGCGTAGGCAGGTTTTACCTGGTTGCTGGAGCATCAGAGCACTGGTGCAAATTCTGGGTCTCCCTAAATAGCGCTGCTGAATTGCCCTGCCTACCTTTCCCCCCAGTCTCTGACAAGCACTCAACGCCCTCGAGGTACCTCTTCCTGAAATGTGCTCTAGTCAAATACATTTCCTCTCTTTGTAGAAGGTGGGGCCCCGCGTCTCCCCCTTTACCTGCTGTGGCTGGTGTGACCCCAGTCTTCCAGTGGCCTCTCCAACTCCGCCCTGCCCTTCCAGCCCGTCTCGCGCTCCCCTCCGCCACCCCCTTGCTCTCTCCACACTCAGGGGGGAGAGCGATATTTGGTGCCTGAAGGGCATCTAACAAATTGCTTCCTCTTCTAAAGAGAGAATCAACAGTGGAAGAACCCTTCTAAAACCTTCTCTAACCACCACAGAAAAACCACAGTCTGGACAGTCATTCAGACACAAATTCAGCTTGATCAATACTGGATAAGGTTTTCAAAGTGGATATTTGGGCCACAACTACCATACTTGGATAAACCCAATTCAGTAGGAAATTATTTCAATTCTTCATGTCACTCTAATCTTTCCTTTTAGAAAGATCCCAACTCTCTGACTTACTTTTTTCTCTTTAGATGAAAATTTACATCCTGCTGGTCTAGATTATAGAAGTGAGGCCCAACACCACAGGAAGGGCAATTTCTATGCTAAATCCCTCAAAGGAAGAGAGACATATGCTCCCTAGAAAACTTTCCCCAAATATTTGGAAAATCAGGAAGTTCTTGCTAACATCCAACCTCAAACCTTGCTGCCTTAATTTTAATCATTTGGATCCTTTACAGATTAGGTTTCAATTTACAAAAAAAAAACTCTTCAGCTTAGAAGAAAATGCCTTGCCTAAACAGAGCCAGGCTTTTCAATTC